CTTCACATACGAAGGCATTATCCACCTGCTTTTTTCCTGCGTACATGTAACAGACTCTCGCATTCTAACGCCAGCTTCAATGGCAAAAAGAAGAGCCCCAACGTGTGAGCAGGCCTCGCAAAGTCCTGCCATGCAGTTACAGTGCGCCATGCACACGTTTCCATCCTTTTCAGCAAGGAGCCATGTCTTCAGAGGCGTCTCTCTCGCTCGTTGTGAGTGATTTACTCTCGCTGTAACAACCACTTTGTCGGTTCCAGCCACTAGTTTGGTAAAAATTGTATTTACCCACCCTGAAACGAAGAAGTTGTAAGCGTCCATAGACTTGTAAGCTTTCATTTGCTGCCCAGTAATCCACGAGGTCTGTAGCACCAAATAGTTGACAATGTCAGGATATTCCAAACCTGGAAGTGTAAGTGTGCTGCTCACTAGTACATCACTAAAAATTAGAAAAAAAACAACACGATTTTAGTCTTCCAACCGTCCCTCTGTCTTCGGCGCTAGATCCAAAGTCGCCTCCAGATCCGGTAGAAAGCCACAAGCCAGGCACACCTTTGGGTGCTGCTCAAGCTCTTACTCCTCAGCAACTGCGCACTGGAGACCCAGCTTCGCCAGATTACCTGACCCAATGGATCTCTTTGGTTCAGGCAGAGCGCGAAAAGTTAGCTCTGGAATTAGAGCTTCTCCGCTTAAAAAGAGAACAGCCTTCACCAGCAACTCCACCCAGCGATCAGGGATCAATCGCTCTTCCTTCCACCACCAGGGAAAAGGGCACTGTAGACTGGCCGCAAGATTTTACACCAGGTACGTCCACCAACCTTGATTACGACAAGCGAGAATTAGCAGAATTTGTCGCCGGGTATCTTGCAATGATTAAAACGTATGATCCTGTGGCCACCAAACTCATGCTCCGTGATCTAGAACTGCTTATGATTAAAGGAATCAGCTATACTTGGAGCAGTGTGCGCTCGTTTCACGCTCACATCGCTAAACAGGTAGAATTATATCGCCTGGAATCGTCCAACACCTCAGAAATTTGTGATCGTGCAAACACATCGTTCAAGCACTCGGATTTACGTCAAGCACCACCTCCTCGCGCGCCGCCCACGCCACCCCTTACATCGCGCGGGAAACAGGACACCGGTCAGGATAATCGGGGCTGTAAACCTTGGAATTATACTGGCAGTTGTACCTGTGACAAGGAAAAGGAGATTTATTCTAGCCAGCACAAGTGCCGCGTTTGCCAACAGGATCACCCCATGCTTCACTGCCCCAAACGAAGGAATCCTATTCCTGCAACATTCTGACATAACGTTCCACAGCCACTCCCTCTTTCCCCTGAAGCGACCTCGGACCTATCAATGGACAAGGATTTACAGGACACTCGCTCACGCACGGAAACTTCTTCTCATTGTTTTGTTCATTCCACGGCTCCAAGCACTGATACATCTGCTATTATTCGTCACATCTTAGCTTCCCGTTCCGCTCAGCCCAACGCTTTCGGGGCCAAAATTCCCGTTCCCACAGCATTGAAAGTTCACATGTGGGCTCATCTTTTACCGTCTTTTAAAAGGAATATAGGAGCAATCACCTAGCAACACGAGAAACAGCTTGCTACATCTTATTTAGTACTAACAGTTGGATATGTAAACAAAACACATACAGAAAGTGGAGTTAAAAAGTCTTTATTTCAAGTTAGTTTGCGTCTTCCTATTTATTGCTAAAACTCGGTTATATAAACAAAACACAACCACATATAAACAAAGTGGAGCTGAAAACTCTCTATTTCAATTTTATTACAAAACAGTTTTCTCCTTTGTATCTCAAGGAAATGGCTAACTCTATTAAAGTATCAGCGTTTCACACACCATTAATCAGGTGATTATGCAGGTTCACTAACTCACTGTTGCATACAAATTAGATCTGCAGTAAAAACCCCTAGGGAAAGTCTTGACATATTAGTATAAACACAACAAGACACTATGGAGCGTATACTTAGGCGCTGTGGTTGTGGAATTAATTGTAATTGCGGAGGAATAGTAATATAGTGATATATGATAAGGTGTCAATTTGTGAAATAATGGGATTTGTCAGGATGTTCTGAAAAGAGCAATATCCAAGAGGCTGACTTGCCAAAAACTAGCATTTCGGGGCAAAATTTAATTGTCTCTGAGATATTCAAGCCCAGTTACGCCCTGACGACTCCATACAAATCCTTGTAAATTTGACTTGGGTCTAAATGCTTAGACCCAAGTCAAATATGAGGTTACCGGCAGTGAGTAACAAGTCAAACAAGACAAACAGTGAAAAGGAGAATTCCCTATTTTTTTTTTACATCAGGCTTCAAAAACAGCATAACAGTCTCATGTACTGATTACTCATGTACTGCCGTCAGAAGATGTTTATCATACGTGCCAACTCTCTCAGATTATCCGAGAGACTCCTGGACACGGCACAGATCTCCCTCTCTCCCGTATGGGTCACCATATCTCGCGGATAAAATAATCTTTTGAGCTTTTCTGTGCCTTGGATTGAAATTAAGTCCATTTTTAGCTCCAAATGTAAATTTTTCGTATTCGCAGTCCAGTTTGGCTGAGAAAACGAAGTTGGCAAACCTTACAAGTACTCCATGCAGTGCTGTGCAAAACCACAAAATAGCTTCAAAATAGCTGTACATCTAAAGTACAGCTGTTTAGCAGCATTTTGGAAGCCAAACAGCAGCTTAATTCAAGTTGCAGCGGGATGCAAAAGCGCTGTGCAGCCTTTAAAGCTCTCGGCAGCAGTTTTGCAGTGCAGTTGCAGACTTTCAAATGCTGGGAAGTAGCTGCCGTAACACTATAATTCAGCTGCGGTTGATCTGATAGCACAACTTTCTTGAGCGCCAGGAACATGAACTGCCTGAAAAGCCTTGTCACAAATTACTGCTTTCATAATGAGAGAACTTTGACTGTACCTCTAAGAAAAGTGAGGAAGCTTGTGCCCAGGAAAGATCACTTATTGAATAAACTTCCAAATTCCATGCTTTTGGAATATAGATTTCAATAAATTTCATTCTGTGACTGGCAAGTGTGGGAATGTTATGGCTAATTCCCTGGAGACATTCTAGGCCATAATCTAATTGGTCGGCACTTTTACATGAGATCCCATTACATCTCTAGACAAACATTTGCGACCGTTAAATGAAAGGCACAAACATTCATAATTTTTTTGCATCTAGCTCTGTTTCGAGATGGAAGTACCGTTGATGTTTTTGGATGCAACAGCTCAAAGGTATTTGTAAACAACGAACTGTACGGTGACTTCTACACTAGGTACTGACGAATCGAACCGGAGCAAGCAACACAGATACAAGAATCTCAGTCGGGTTTCGCATGCACTTAGAAGAAAACGTTCATGGATCATAAACAAAACGTCAAAGCGAACAATGTCAGGCTTAACCCCTAACAACGTATCAAAATATCATTTGCCTACTGTGCGTGTAAACTTTACATAGAACAACTGCTGTTATTCTCTTAATCTTTAAAATTTCAAGGTCTGCATGTTAATGGATGTTCTTACATTTAGATAAGTGACTGTGATCGCTGAATTTTAATATTTACAATGCGAGACTTTTGCAGATTTGGTATATGTCGTGCTTTTAAAATATGTACGCGTGGATACTAATAAAGTATCAGTTGCATTTTGACTTTCTAGTGGTTTTTACTCTGCTACTAAGGCCTTGTCAACTCCTCTACTACGTATCATAATTATTGTCATTCTGCAGTGCTGCTTGTTTCGTATGGGTGAAGATTAATTAATTTCCATTCCTTACAAATTGCTGTGTATTTGACTCTTTTTGTCATTGTTTTTTAATAAAGTTTTTAAGAGGCTGTCTCAGTAAAAACCGCCCACTATTTCCGTATTTCCGGTTTTCCATATTTCCGCGTTTCAACATTTCCGGTGTACGTGTCAACCTGCATTTGAGCTTGCAGAGCCGGTTGAATGGAAGATTTATTCGAGGTTGTAGCTCTGAAATCTCAATTTTCTGATCCAAAATGAGACCTTCCCAGTTAATTTTCTGATTCTCGAGCAAAGTTTCACCTCTCAACAGTTGTTTTACCGAGCTATTTAGCTCAAAACGTGACAGAGTTTTGATCTTCGGATTGTTAGCTTGAGATTCAAAAATGGCCGCATACCAGCAGTTTCTAAAGCACATCTTACTGGAATTTTCTGGAGTCCGCCATCTCAAGGATTGGAATATGGCTCAATTTGTGAGTCAGTGCCAGTAATGAATCAGGTAAGCTGTACTTTTGACAAAATCTGCTCGAGATAGATCCGTTATGCTAAATATGAAAATATCGTATTAGCTCGCATACACGTTGATACAAACGGTCATAACTTTTAAAATACTGAAAACGTACATGGGGTTTTGCATATTATTAATAACAGGTGGTCTATCTTTGCGTCTATTTAGTCTAGAGCTTTCAACTATGTCCCAAAAGTCAGAAATAAGCTTTTAAAACAGACACATTTTTGGCCTTTCACTCCAAGGCAATTAATTGGGGTCATATTTTGCTTGATTTCGTCTTTCCAGCTAAATTTAGCGGATAACTATTACTTTCAGGAAAAACTAGAGATGTTTAACTATAAATAGGTATAAAATTGATTAGTAAATGGTGCAAATCAAACATTTTACAGCGCCGCAAAAAATGGCAAATTTTCAGTTTTCAAGACATGCAAAATGGCCGTGATGGGACAAAATACTCGGCGCTTCCCAGCGCGGCCAGAAAATTATTGTGAATCAACGCAAACCTATTTTAGTTATAGCCTCGATAAAGCCTTTCACTCGCCCAAGTTTCAGGCAAAATTATTTTACGCGCGAAATTGAGTGGGTGGCTTTTACTGAGACAGCCTTTTAAAACAGTATCTTTTGTCTGGTTCTATTGCTAGCAATTATTAGTGGCCTGTTTCAATTGATCCTTGTTATTTATTCTGTTAATACTAATATGCCAAGACTGTCCCTTGGGGTTTTTACTGCAGACCTAATTTGTATGCAACAATGAGTTGGTGAACTCAAATAATTACCTGACTGATGGAGCGTGAAATGCTGAGACTTTAATAATTAGTCATTTCCTATGGAAATGATTGTGCTCTGTATGATGAGCGACACTCTGAGAACAATTGACCGCCGTCAAGATGTTGTATTAGTCCTCCTTGATCTATCAGCGGCCTATGACACCATTGACCATGTAATCCTGGTGGAAAGACTCGAGTCCTACTTTATCCTACTTAGGATGAACTGGTTCATATCATACCTTGAAAACTGCTGTCAATCTATAATTATTGGACATCAAGTGTTCACTCCTCGCGATCTATGTTATGGTGTCCCATAAGGTTCCATACTTGGACCCCTACTTTTCACCCTGTATATTGCCCCTCTACAAGATGTGATTGCTCCCCATAACCTCAACTCTTTGTTTTGTGCCGATGACACTCAATTACCATATTTTTTCGGTTATAAGGCGCACTCGGTTATAAGACGCATCCCAAACTTTTCAACACGATTTTTCTAAGTTGACAAACTGAAAATTAAGCCAAAATACCCGGCTATAAGGCGCAACCACGATCTTCAGCAATGTTCACCTTACCTAGAATAACATGCTTTCCAACGACGCTGCTTACGGCCATTCACCTTTGTGAACAAAAGCGAAAAAGGTTACATATTTCGATCAAAAGTGAAAAAATCACACCTATCAACACAAAAAGCATTGTTTTCTAAAGCTGTGAATACTCAAGGACTCCGTTTTTGTTCCGTAAACAAGTCAGTTGTCTTGGTTGCGGCATATTGACATCAGTGAATGCATTGGTAGTATCAAGATAAAATCGATCGCCTAATACATGGGCCTTAATATTTTGTTAATTAACTACCACATCTGGTAAAATTAAGCCCTTGTTTATCAAAATAACTGTGATAAAAGAGCCCTCACAGTTCCATTGACAGATTTTGGAGCTTTCTTCAGAAAATAAAGGTCTGAAACAAGCGCAAGATCGCAGTGTGGAAATGACTGTAAACAAACCGCCATCTTGGGTAAAGCATGTGCTCAAATATTCGCCTGGTTACCAAGTATCAACATTCAGTTCAAAACGATTTGTTTTGAATGCAAAACGATTCGTTGATCGTTTAATACCAGCTTTGGAAGATGTAGAAGTCATTGAACACCGATAACAAAAAAGAGGATGAGCAGCTAGAGATTTTAGAGTCAAGGATTTGACTCAATTTTGTTTTGTTTCCCAAAGATACTCCATTATAAGACATCCGAAATTACAA